GAAGCGACGGTGAAGGTTCGGGCGCGGCCGCGGCGCCCGGTTCTTGCCCGGCGGCCGAGCCTCGTTCGCCCCCGCCCGGCCCATCGGTTCCCTCCGGCCCGCCGTGAGTGAGGACGGGTGGCGGGCGGGCGGCGGGTGGGCGGCGGGGGCCGGGAGGTGTCTCTGCACGAGGCGGGAGGCGGCGCGGCCCTCGCGTTGTGCCGTGCTGAGGATGACTGTGCAGTGCGGGCAGCGGGCGGCAGCGCCCCCTGGGGCCGTGTTGGGGTGCGCTCGGTGCCGCTTCCCGGGAGTCCCGGGGTTCCCGGTTCACGTGCCCTGTGCTCTCTTGCAGGCCCGGTGCCGGTTCTCGGGCCGGTTCCCGGTTTACGTGRCCCACTGCGCTCTGCCCGCGGCGCGTTCCCGGCACCATGGTGAGTGAGCCGCCTTCCCCGGGGCTTTGCTGAGCCGCGGGTCCTGCCGAGTCACGGCCCGGGCGGGGGCGGCGGGCGGCGGGCTCGCTGCAGGAGCCGGGCTGCAGCACCAGTGACCAGCTCGAGGTCACCGGCTGGCKGGGTCTGTTATACATGGGCTTGTGGAGCGTTGGTAACAAGAGACTGCTGATACTTACTGAGCTATTCCTTTTACAGTCTCGAAGATATGACTCCAGAACTACCATATTTTCTCCGGAAGGTATTTTTTGGCCTGACACTTTCAAGTAAACTCTGACTGTTCTATCCATCTTCTCAAAACTATCAAAACACTTGTGCAGAGGGTGGTTGTAGCATGTTTCTGTCTGAATATGAGTTATAGAAATCATATTACCCCACATCCAGGTCTGTAGGTACACCAAGGGTTCAAAGTGGAAACTTTCAAACTCATTCWAATTGAAGCAAGGGAATCTTGTCCCATCATGAAGTAATATCACATGCCATGTTTTTGAAATAACCATTTATCTCTTGTTTGAGTATGGTTAGATTTTGTCATCTCCCTTGAGAATGGATAATATCCTGGTGGTGCAGTCACGCCTCTCCTTGTTATTCTTGCACATGCTGAAACAAGTACGTACAAACCATGTTTTCTTACTTCTTAGATGGGATGAACTCAAAAAGTCCAATATAAAATATTTTCTTTTTTATTGAAAATTTATCTTGGCTCATTCTGCTGCAGCAGAGAGTTCTTCATTTTTTTTCAAATTTTTTTTTTTAATATAAAGGGGTTTTTTTTTCCCCAGTGGCCATGTCCAGTATTACTTTATTTTCCTTCTTTTCATCAAAAGGAGGACTCCCTCCTCCTTTTCATCCAATTAATTTATTATCCGCTGGTAGCAGACTGCAGAAGTGTGAGTAGATGGTACCATGAGCACTTGCCAGATTCTTTCACATTTAAGTCACCTGGTGTACTTGGTTTTGTTCAGAGTTATTTTTTGATGATGGGAATTTCAATCCTTTYCTAGGCCGCCTGTACCAGGTTGAGTATGCAATGGAAGCTATTGGGCACGCAGGCACTTGCCTGGGAATTCTAGCAAACGATGGCGTTCTGCTGGCAGCAGAGAGGCGCAACATTCACAAGCTYCTTGATGAAGTGTTTTTCTCAGAGAAAATATACAAACTGAATGAGTAAGTTGAAATTATAWTTAAATATCTAATGATGTTATTCACAACAAAGCCCTGATTAGCACATAACCTGGTCTTATTTCATTTGAAGTGTTAMAAATCTTTGGTGTTCTAGACACGTATGATTGTTTTGTCATTTTTCACTTCAGCAGATCTCCTAAAGTAGTGTTGCTGGTTTGTTTTTTTTTTATCTCTAGGAGAATTTTCTAGGTGGAATAGCCTGTTTATTGGTACTACACCATGCAAGGTAATGGCATTGCAGCAGTTAAGAAAATCGGGAAATTTCAGTTTTACAAAATACCATTGGAGGGCAGAATAAAGAATGCACACARAAATTACCATGCTATCTCAGCTCCTCTTCTAAGTCTTTGGGGTTTTTTTGGTGACTCAAAGAGAACAAGATAATTGGGTAAAATACGCCTTTGGCTTTTTTGCCACAATTGTAGCAGAGATGAAATGTCTTTCTATTGCCATTTCCCTTCTAGCTCCTGGAAGGKCAAATTGTGGTRTYAGAGCAAAGATTTTCATGGATTATCCTTTCTTGCCACAAGGGAGGTAGAGCTTCATTCTTAACAGAATGTGCACATGAAACACAATTTTTCAGCCTGTCAGCCTCCCATTGTATGTTGATCTTGAAAGCATCTAGAGTGGTAGGAAGTACTGGATTTTCAAAGTGGCAGTGTAACAGCGCATTGGAGTAATCACCTAGAACACCTTCCATCTTCTGGAAAATTCTTAATTTCACAGATCCCTTTTGTATAGTGCAAGCTTTGTAGTTTTATCAGATTGAGCTAAAGAGCTYCTAAATGAAGAGCTAACAAAACAATCAGGGGTGTAAAGTGCTGCTTTTTCTTAGGGTCCTATCAAGACCACTAAGTTTCAGTTACACAGATGCCATGTGTCAGCCACAACACACACTGAAGGCCTTCACATCTGTGTGGCTCCTCTAGTGTTGTGGTGTGCGGTGTCAGGTGGCCTCCTGGGAAGCACCTGTCTGTGCCTAATGGCTTTTGTAAAGCCACTCAGAACTTCATTATCCCTGGCATGACCCTCTTCTCAGAATTACATGTATAACTAACACACTGACTCACTGACTTTTGCTGTCCACCTCTGCTCTTAGCAAATGGTTACTGATACTTTTAGTGTACTGTAAAGGCAGGAGCAGATAAATCCATTTTGTATGACAGCTCTGTAGTTTTGATCAGAAGAGCCCAACAGTAGTGCTCTGCTTGAACCCCTGTATGAAGATGTGACTGTTGGTTGGAGATTGACAGGAGTTCTGTTAATTTGTATGCTTTTCTTGCAGGGATATGGCTTGCAGYGTTGCAGGAATAACTTCAGATGCCAATGTTCTCACAAATGAGCTGAGACTGATTGCACAGAGGTAAGTCTGCTGACAGCTAACAYGGTTTACTTGCCTGTGCTGTCACATTCAGCTGTCTATGCATTAGATCAGAATGAACGTGCATTTAGTAGATCAGAAGTAGATTGGAATAGAACAGCTGGATCAAAGAGGCTCTAACTTGGGAGCTTGTTTCCTCTTAAATGYGGTACAGGGTATGGTCAGCAAAACAAGTTTTGAAAACTGTTTTTTCTTCTCTTTCATATTAGGTATTTGTTACAGTACCAAGAGCCCATTCCTTGTGAACAACTAGTCACAGCACTGTGTGATATCAAGCAGGCTTATACACAGTTTGGAGGTAATGAAGTGTGATGAATCATTGTGTTACTAAATGTCTCAAGAACAATTCTCTTACATAATATGAAGGATCTGAGTCTGTGGACAATTCTATTGAATTCTCTTAAGAAGTTATACTTAGAAAAAATAGCTTAATTTAAGAGGGGAATGGGTAGTCATGGTTACTGGTTTTTGATGCTGAGGATGCTACTTTTTATTGCTTGGGTAATTGGTGGCTGTGATGCTGGCCTATTGCATAGAATATGTATATGAACAATATATGCTTTGAGTGCTCTTGCATTTAATGAATTTCTTCAAAAGACCGGCAGAGAAGTGTTYAGGCAACCTTTCACCATTTTGGGCCCATCCAGTATAATGGGACAATGAATCAAAACCAAGGCTGTATGTAGGGATATCAGTATTGTAACATTTAGAAAAATACTCTTTCTGTGGAGCAAGCAACATGTTAGAAAAGGATATTGTAAATAGTGTTCCTCAGTATGTGAACTGATGATTCTGCTGTTTTACATATATGTAGTGGGAGAGAATTACCTTTTTAACTACGTGGCTTTTGACACTGCT